TTTTTATTTATCATTGTTACGGAAAATCTCATTTATCCTAAAATTTTTTGTGTAATAAAAAACATCTATTTAAAAATGTATCGCAATTATATACCCAAAGTTGTACAATTTATTTTTGTATAAATTTAGAAAACTTCTTGATATAGATATTATTGTAGTCATTAATTTGAGCATCTTAAAAAATAAGAAAGTTTAATCCAGGAAGACTCGAATCTAAGAACTACTGATACTTACGCACCGACCACGATCCAGCGCACCGGGAAGTGAGTGGCTCACCACACGGACCAAACCCCATTCCCATCATTCCTAGAGACTTTGTGCTAAAGCGGTACTACGTTAGTATTATTTTGAGGTTGGATACCTATTAGTCACTTAAGACTTCCATCGGTGTCAAATGTGTACAGGCCCCGCTACCGCTTCAGGTGAATTGCCTTGTACAACGTCTTGGTATATCGAGATCTACCACTTTCAAAATCAGGATTACTTCAACAAACATTGCTATGTTATCGCAGTTTTTTTCATCAACTATGGTATATTTTACTATATCTAATAGTACCGTGCAGCTGGTGGTTATTCCTGAACTCTTATTTTTCATAAATCAGCTTCAACTCCATTAACCCACGGCCTTTTTGGACGCGTACTAGCCTAGTATTCTAATAGGTCATTGATATACAAGCATAATCAAAAGTTTTTAATTAAAGCCATCGATATTTTTTAATATTGTATTTACGCTAAAGAACACAAAAAATATTTAAAAACCATTTTCTGTTAAAACTGCGGCTACTGCTTCCAACGAACACCATAGGCACAGTATTTCACTGGCATACTCAGACACCCTATTTGGAAACACAATGGCATTGTGCAGTGTTGCATCCAATATAGCAATATCTTCAATTGTACACATATATTGTGTATTCTCACCACCCCCTGGCCGCCCAACTGCATTTGTTTTGACTACTTGAATGTAAACGATTTCAAAATTGGAATTTCTTTTACGTATTTTTACATATAAACATGATGGCAGACTGACTACACACTCGTACGCCTCATAGCCAGGAATTGCGACCTATTTCACTTCGTATTACATATCGCTCGTCTCGTTACTGCCCCCCGCGGTATACTCTTTGACATAATGTAAACAATTATTACCTTGTTTATTTATATTTTTCAATTTTTTATTTCATTCTGTAGTATAAATTCAGTATTTCCATAGTTGAGCACCGGCAAGTGCAAGATATTTCGTATTGTTACATCACACAGCAGCTGAAATATATGTTTATGTCAATGTTATTGGTCATTATAATTTAAAATTTCATTAATTCGAACAAAAAAGATAGAAGATACATGTTGATTTGCTGGAAGATTATTTTTAAATTTGTTCCTCAATGATTTCCTTTATGGTGGAAGTCGAATCAGTAGCCTTCAAATAGTTCTGCTGACAATTTCAGTTGAGACCTAGTCCACTTTATCTGGTATAAATAGATATATGTACATATATTATATATTACTATAAATATTTAAATAATTAAATATATATATTCAATTATATTTAAATAGGAGTTTATGATCTTAGCAAAAATTAATGGATTTTGTACAGTTTTTTGTTAGTCGGTTCACCTTATTCCAAGAACGTTCTGATTATTTCACCTTTAATTAATGATATGTCGATAAGTAACATAAAGCGGCATCCATAATCCGATTAGAATAACTTATCGACAAAATTTTTAAAATAGGTCGTACTTATCTGCCAAAAAAAAAGTTTGTGGTTTATGTATGAAGTATTGTGGTTTATTATGTCTGTGGTCAGCGAGTTTTCATACTCGTAAAGAATCAGCAATATAAAGTACATATAATTTTAATATTTGGATCTTATTTTTGTAGATACGAATTTTAAGTTTCACATATTTTTGAGTTGCACAATAGCTGATGGGGATTTTATTACTCTAGTTTCTATTTCCATTTTTGCACCATCGTCTGTATTTATAACACTGCCGAGAGCAGAAAAGGAGTATACCACTTTAATGCGTGCTTTGTTTATTATAAATATATCGGAACTGCTGAAGTTAATTTTTAAGACCTTTATATTTTTTACATAAAAAAACATGAATAACGTATCAGAACTATAAATCAGATCTATAGATATATGGAATTTTAACTTCATATCGACATTGGAGGATGTGCAACTATTAAAGTCCAATGCGGTTTCGGTGCTTATTTACGTGATCTGAAACTGGCTAACCATAGACGCAATACTTCATTGATAATATAAGTTTGATACACACAAATAAATGCCTTTTTTTATAAATTTTTTATAGATCACAGATGGTGGACTTGACACCACTGTATTCTTCTTCTTCTTATTCGGCACTACAGTCCAGTGTGAACCTTGGCCTCCCTCACAACCTGCTTACATCTGATTCGATCTTGTGCAGTTGTATTCCAATTCAGAACTCCGAGCTTTCTGGCGTCCTCGTACACGTTTTCCTTCCATCTCAACTTCGGGCTGCCCGAAATAGCTGTATGGTCAGTCAATTAATCAATTAATTAAAATCATTTTGTTGTTGCAGTTCACTACTTTTCAAAGCCTCTCCAAACTTATGAAAATTATATATATAATCTACAATATTCTAAAGAATAATATTCTCTCTGATGCAATTAATTGTATAGACTTCATGGATGAATTTGCTCATTCAATAGTTTAATCCGTAGAAACTTAAATAATAAGTTTTTGACTATAAAATCAAAGATGCTTATTATGTGTATATATAATATATATAAATATTTCCATAAAATCCTATTGTGTGAATTTGTGAACGCTATACCTATGTGTAAATCTTAGACATTCTTAAATTCTCAAAATGTAATTTAAGGTTGATAACTGGTTTCATTACAGGTCATTATGGTCTGAAATATCATCTTCATAAACTACAATTATCTGCGAACTCGGAATTATGCCTCGAAGATGAAGAAACGACCATGCACATTCTTTGTGACTGTCCTGCTTTAATAACGCACAGAAGAAACCTGTTTCATAAAGAATTTCTGTCACCAGAGCAGATTAAGAATTCTTCTCTAGATTTAGTTCTAGACTTTATTCACAATGCTTTAAGGGGCTTTGTTTAATCAATAGTGAAACTGGTACAATAGGACTCTTCTGGCCGCAGTACCGGCTGTTTGGCAATTTTCACGTCTGCTCTTTACAAAAAAAAAAAATGTATAAATCTGTGTCAAAATAAACATCTATACAATGCATTTTAATGACTCGTAGAGCCACATCCTGCAGCCTTCATTGCTAAATTAAAGTAGGTCGTAAATTAAAGAGTGCCCAATTTATATAAACATTAAAATTTTTTATATTCATAAATAAAGTAAACGTGAATATAAATTTAGCATAACGAAAATAGATTTTTATATTCAAAACAAACATTCAAATATTTTTACAAACAAAATACAAAAATGATTTCAAAATCCCTCCTGCTGGCTCAGCTGGACAGTGCAAGATACTTAAATAACAATCATTAGAAACATTCTGATATATATAAACATATAAAATCGTTTATTAAAAATTAAAATTAATGCAGTAAAAATTTTTTTTAATTTTATAGAAGCAACATGAGCAAAAATAATTATAAAAATTTCTGAAAGAACTCACTCACGTATTTAATAAAGTAAATTTATAAATAAAATTTAAGAAAATCCAAAACTTTAATCGTAAGAAAATTTTTATTTCATTTCTGCAAGAATACATATATTTTTTAATCACTTCAGTCCATTTATTTCAAAATAGAAGAAGAAAAGAATCTACGAAAATCCATGGCAACCGAAATTAACTTCAAAGAAAATTTTAATGCAATAGCTAAAAAAGTATTAGTAAAAGCCTGAATCCAATCCATATGCTGGAGAAGTAAATTTAATTGAAAAAAATTACTTACAATATATGAAATTATTCCAAAAACTGGTTAAATTAAAATATAAATTTGGGGATGTCCAAAAAATCAAAATAAATATTGGTATAAAATGGGGTCTTATTTATCAGCATAATTTAGTATTAATAATAACACATAATTATGAATACTTATGCTTAAATTTTTAATTATTTAATTATAACGATAAATCTGTTTTTATACCCTTTCGCAAAAACAATATCCTTTAGAAAGAAATTTGATAAATGTTAGCAGTTCCTATATGATGATAACTCTATATGAAGAAATATCTCAGTTAGGGACTAAGTACTTTTAAAAAAAACACATATTCAGAAATAAGTTTGACCATAAATACAAAGAGTAGTCATTATCAATAAACTCAAAAGATAAAGCTTAATAATAAGGTTACCAGTAATAACCCTTAGCAAAATAATACATTCAAGTACCTTGACTCTCTAATACAATAACTTCAAGTTTAGTTAACTTGAAGAAACTTAAAAACTAATCCAACACTCTAAAAATTAAACATAGGATAAAGAATGTCAAAGACCATAATGAAGTCTAGAAATAACCAACTAATGAAGTCTAGACATGGATGGAGAACCATATAAACCAAATCGTTTAAACGTTGACTTGAATATAAACGAAATGATGTCTTTTTATATAAAGTAGATAAACACATTTAATCGCTGTCTATATGTACTTTCAAATTAAGCAAACTACTAAGAAATAGTTCATTTTGATTAAATGGAATCACCATAACCCATTCTAAGCCATTACTAAATTTTATAATACTTTTTCCTTTCCAAAAACGGCGTTTAATCAACATATAAAATGGGTTTTCTCCCATTATTTTGCAAACACCAAAACTTGCGTCAATCACTATATAATTATCAGAATATCATAAAATTTTGTTAACTTAGTACTCGTATTATCTCTGGACTTGCAGAGACATCAGGTGTGCTATATCC